TCGGAGGAATTGGCAGACCTCCGGAGGACCACCGTGGCCGCCCGGCGCACCTACACCCGCGCACGGCGGCGGGGCATCGACGCTGAGACGGAGGTGGCCGCAGAGGGACTCCGCAACGCGCGAAGCGCCCTCCGCGTGGCCATCAGGCGGGCGAAGGCCAAAGCCTGGCAAGAGTTCGTCTCCTCCCTGGACAGGGATCCGTGGGGGAGGCCCTATAAGATCGCGACGAAAAAGCTGCGACCGTGGGCCCCCCCAATCGCGGAAACCCTGGACGTCCGGTTCCTCGACGAGGTGGTGTCCGCCCTCTTCCCTGCAAGGGATCGCGAGATCCCGGAGAGGGCGGGCCCGCCAGGGATGGGTCGAGGAGCTGGGCGTCTCAGGGGAGGAGATGGCGTTGGCCTTTGCCCGCCTGAAGGGTAGGCCCCGAGCGCCGGGGCCCGACGGCGTGCCCGGTAGGGTATGGGCGGCCGCGGCCCCGGTGATCGGGGGAAGAGTGAGGCAGCTATTCACGAGCTGCCTCAGGGAGGGGGCGGTCCCCGAGTCGTGGAAGAGGGCCAGACTCGTCCTCCTCCGCAAGGAGGGCAAGCCAGCGGAGAACCCCTCCGCATACAGGCCTATATGCCTACTGGACGAGGTGGGAAAGCTTTTTGAGCGAGTCATAGCTTCCCGCATCGTCCGGTGGCTGTCCCGGGATGGTCCTAACCTGTCCAGCGGTCAGTATGGCTTCCGGGAGGGCCGATCGACGGTGGGTGCGATCATGCAGGTGCGTGCCCTCTCGGAGCGGCTGACCGCGGACGGGAAGGTGGCGTTGTCGGTGTCACTTGACATCGCCAACGCCTTTAATAGCCTGCCATGGGGCCGGGTGGTGGGGGCGTTGAAGGAGCACTTCCTCTTGCCCCCCTACCTGGTCGCCGTGGCGGAGGACTATTTCCGGGACAGGCAGCTGGAGTACCGAGACAAATCCGGACTCCAGCAGCATAAAGAAAGTCATTTCTCCATCGAATTGTGACTGGCGATGAAAAGTGGATACATTTTGAGAATCCTAAGTGTAAAAGATCATGGGTATCTCCAGGCGAACCATCGACATCGACTGCAAGGCCAAATCGCTATGGACGGAAGACAATGCTCTGTGTTTGATGGGATCAGAAAGGTGTGATCTATTACGAACTGCTAAAACCTGGCGAAACCGTTAATACTGAACGCTACCGACAACAAATGATCAATTTGAATCAAGCTTTGCGTGAAAAACGACCGGAATATCAAAAAAGGCAACACGAAGTGATTTTGCTTCATGATAATGCACCAGCAAAACTGGTCAAGGAAACGATTGAGGCGTTTGGTCGAGAAATACTTTCGCATGCGGCTTACTCACCGGACTTGGCTCCGTCCGATTACTACTTATTTGCATCGATGGGACACGCACTTGCTCAGCAGTGCTTCACTTCTTACGAAGATGTACGAAAATGGCTAGATGACTGGTTTGGCTCAAAAGAGCAACAATTTTTTTGGCGTGGCATGTCCACAAATTATCAGACAGGTGGGAAAAATGTATATCTAGCGATGGGCAATACTTCGAATAAAATATTTTTTATCATTTTCATGCAATAAACTTGTATTTTCTATTAAAAAAATCCGGTTTCATATTTACATACCTGGTATATATTCGGTGAACAATCGGAATTACGAAATACATCCAAGGAAATGTGTTACAATCTTTTAGTGACAAGTTGTAGGTATATTTCGATGTACAGACCCGAAATCTGCTATAACATATGCGTATGGCAGATTCTAGGACATCTTGGAATTTTCTATAAGCATTTATATCTTGAGATATAACGGATAATGAAATGCTGTCACGTCCTAAGTCGCGTGTTTATCGTAATTGCTGTCTCGAGACGCGGTGGTGGGTTTTGTGGAGCGCGAGTGCGGAGCGGGGCGCGCAGGGCGAAGCCTTGGTTTCTACAGATATAGATTTTCGGTAGTTGTTTACGCGTATTGAGGCAGGCTGCTGTCACCAGTGCCTTTCGTAAAGGCACGAAACTTTATCGTTAATCGGAGATTCCTAAAGAGGCTTCTATTTAATACCGGAACCTTCGAGGTCCTTCACAGAGAAAACTAAATAGGAGAGTCAGAGGAGTTGTCAGATCGTATAAGCGCCCTCGTGTGCTGTGAGCACTCGTTAATCATGGAGATTATTATAATCTCTCGAGAGGGGCTGCTGTAGGTTGGTCATCATTTTACTCACTCTATCTACTCTCTTCGTTTCGGAAGGAAGGATCTTGAAGGAATATGAACGAAAGACGCTGATTAGCTCTCTAATATTCTTATGTTAAATTTGCACGATTGAATAGATATTAATTTTGGTTTTAAATTTGATATTAACTTAGGGCGGGTCGGTATCAGCGTTAGAGCCACGTATGGGGATGAGCGGTCCGGCCTGGAGCATTCCGCGGGTTTCGTGGCCTTCCCGGAGTCAGTTGCGGGGGTTGGAGTCGGCGGTCGCGCCCCGGTTTTTTCTCTCGCCGGACTGGGTGGTGGTGACGCGATCGGCGCGGACCACTCATTCTTGTTCCCCCGTTCCAGTAGAGACCGCCGGAAGGCCCGGAGGTGTACCCTCCATCCGCCGCGTGTGGAGGCCTCGACGCCGATGAAGGCGCTCGTTTGAACTCCACGGAGGAGACGTGGCTCGTCGGCGCGCCTACGTGAGTCGCACGTGGAGTCACGGTCGAAGATGGCTTTAACGACGCCTACCTTAGCTCTATATAAAGATGGAAGAATAAAGGAAGCGAGTCCGTGAACGCGCTCGTTTAGATATCATTAACATCGAGGCCCCTCGCGGTAAGGAGATGTTCTCGTCCTCGTGCTATTGCGAAATATCTAGTACGTGCCGATCACGTTATTTGTGATTTACTCTAACAATGATTAAATTTTACTTAGGTTGCGCATTTTATTTTATTTTGCGGGCGTCGCGAGATTCATATTGGCACGCTCAGTCGTCGCGTACCACAGCCCGTTGCGGCAGAACTTGCATTTGTTCTCTGCGCGTTTTTCGTTATAGGTTTCTGCCTTGCCTAGATATTTTCACTTGTCGCGCGCGTGATTTCCTTTTGTTTGTTTAAAGCTTCTTTCTGATTGTGCTTATTCCGATGTTAATTATGATGATGTCTGTCGTGTTCTGATGTCTTTTATGATTCGTGGTGCACTTTAGGTTGCGCCGTGATGCATTGCGTTGGAGATACGCGCTTTTATTCGTTTTTCTTGCTATACAGTAGTTTTTAGTGGTGATAGTGTCGAAGTCGGCTGTTATGTTAGAAATTTTCTACCAGATGGTGATAATGTTTATACACGCGGGTGCATCCTATTGCTATTTTCATTATTTAATGTTCGGCGCAGGCGCAGTATGCGCGGAGTTAGATCTCGACAGTTTCAACGGCATGTACTATAGTTTGGCACGACCATAGTCGGCACGCGCTATACCTACGATTCGTATTTCGAGCTCGCGCCTGGTAAAAGGACGAGGCGCTATAGTGCACGCGCACCGGACGTTACATGCCAAATCGCAAATTTTTACACTATCCTGGAGGTTTTGCTAACGGCGTGTTAGGTTTTTTTAATGGGGTCCTTCACCCGGAGATCTAGTATACCACTTATATGCCATACACATATTTTATAGTAGATTTCGGGTCTGTACATTCAAATGTATATACATTGGGTTGTATAGATTCAGAACCTGCCATACGCACATATTATGGAAGATTTCGTGTCTGTACATCGAAATGTACATACAACTGGTTACCAAACAGTTGTAACGCTTTCTTCGATGCATATAGCAACCGTTCTATGATTCGTCACGCTGAGTGGATTAATCAGCAAGACGAATAATGAAACGGTTGCAAAATTGTTGAGTCAGCTGGACACAACCATTTACTCGGTGAGCAATCGGAATTTCGAAATACATCGAAGGAAAAGTGTTACAACCTTTTTGTGACAGGTTCTATGTACATTTCGATGTACATACCCGAAGAGTCTGGCATAATACATGCGTACGGCAGATTCCAGAATATCTTAGAATATTCCATACGCGCTGTGACGTGACATTTTG